TGAGGCAGGAGAATTGCCTGAACCCAGGAGGCGGAGGTTGCGGTGAGCCGAGATTGCGCCATTGCACTCCAGCCTGGGTAACAAGAGCGAAACTCCGTCCCAAAAAAAAAATAGAGACGGGGTTTCTCCATGTTGGTCAGGTTGGTCTTGAACTCCCGACCTCAGGTGATTTGCCTGCCTCAGCCTCCTAAAGTGTTGGGATTACAGGCGTGAGCCACTGCGCCCAGCCAATTTTTTTACTTTTTAAAGTTATGCTTTGGCTGGTCACGGTGGCTCACGCCTGTAATCCCAGCACTTTGGGTGGCCAAGCTGGGTGAATCACCTGAGGTCTGGAGTTCGAGACCAGTCTGGCCAACGTGGTGAAACCCTGTCTCTACTAAAATACAAAAAATTAGCCAGGCATGGTGGCACATGCCTGTAATCCCAGCTACTGAGGAGGCTAAGGCAGAAGAATCACTTGAACCTGGGAGGCGGAGGTTGCAGTGAGCTGAGAGCCCGTCATTGCACTCCAGCTTGGGTGACAAAAGCGAAACTCTGTCTCAAAATAGATAAATAAATACAGTTATGCTTTTTCCTCTATTTCCAGTTAAATCACGACAGCTTAGTAATCCATCAATGAGATGTCGTGTTTCTCTTTAGTAGAAATTATATTTTTGGCAGCCAATTAAGATGCTTGTACTCCTTTGTTCCTTATATTCCTATAAACTCAAGTTGATAAGTTTTGTGGTATTTGACTTCTTAGGCAAAATCAAAATTTTTACTTTGTTGCTATTCTGCTTATGAAATAAACTTTTGTCTATGCATTTGAACTAAGTTTCAGCAAGTTCAATCTAAATTGAATAATTCCAACTCCCGGTTTTATCCTATGTTGCTCATAAAACAGTTCCAAGTATACTGCATTATCTTGAGATTTGAAGATACGTTGCCCATGGGGATTATAGAAGGCAAATGGGTTAAGCCGCTCTGGCCTCGTTGTTGTGTATTTTAGGAGACTATCTTAGGGGAGCTTAAGTGATTGAGCTGCAGGAAGAAGACATCGCAACCCAGGAATTAAAAATGGATTCAGATTGTCTGATTTTAACAATTTAGTTTCACCATAAACTAATTATGTGACATTGGGCAAGTGACCTAATTCCTCTGTACCTTAGTTTCTACATTTGTAAAATAGAGATGATTTGGTAACATAATAAGATATTTGTGAGAGATAAATAAAACAATACACTTTGTAAAGGGCCAGCGCCTGGAATATTTTAAGCAATTTGGAACTCTATGTTGCAGAGTTCATAAGGTTCTAGCTTGTTTTTTTTCTCTTCATTAAACCTTTCTCTCGCAGATTCAAACTACTCTTAATGGCTTTACCTTTCACATCAATGTGAGTGATTCCTAAATATGATTTACTTCCCTTCTTCTCGAATCCATACCCACAGATGCTTATTATTTATTTATGTGTACCTTTCTTAACTGTACTCTCCCGGTTTGCCATATAACTAGCTCAAAACCTCAGTCATTTTTACCTTGTTGCGCTCTCCCCAGTCCAACTCACCCAAACTAGTCTTTCTCATTTCCTTTTTGTCCTGATTCTTCTACCAGATTTATTAGCAACTGCCTAGACTATTAATAAAGCCTTCTAGTTGGGCTTTCGATTGTTCTGTTTCTGCCCCATTTCAGTCTGTCCTATATACTGCCATCAGATTGATCAAAGCTGTGGTTTGTCTACTGTTTTAATTCATTTTTAGATATGGCATAATTCATTTTTAAATTATATACCATACCAATGAAGATTACAAGACGTAAACATTTTATCAGAAGGGGGCATTTATATTTTTAATCAGGAAATACTTTCCAGAAGCATTGCTTTGAATGCCATTCTCTTAAAATTCTTCAGTGGAACTTTTGAGGGTAATTAGATATGTTCATTATCTTGATTTGGTGATTTCATGGGTGATGATTTCACACCAACTTATCAAACTGTATACTTAATTGAGATGTGTAGTTTATTGTACGTCAGTACTACCTCAATAAGGTTGTTTAAAAAAAAAAACCTTCAGCAGCTCCCTACTGTTCATCAAACAAAGCCTGACTTTCATTCTGATATTCAAATTCCCCCAGGATCTGGCCCTAACTGTCCTATATAGCCTTAATCAATCATGATTCTCCTCTACAATCCCAATGCTCTAGTAAAACTGAGCCGCTCACTAAAGCTGCCCCTCTTCCTACTATTCTCAGTGTTTCGTATTGCTTTTTCTGAGGCTCTACCTATAGACATCTTCAAGACCCAACCGAATTGCCACTTTTTCCATGAAGGTCTTGAAGAACAAGAAGTGGTCTTTGCCTCCTTGAACTTTTGTTTGCACTACTTTTATGTTTCTTATCCAAAAAAATGGCCTTAACTTGTAGTTATCTGTATAGTTATGTTCCCCACTAGAATAAAGGATCGTTGAATGATACAATTTGTTCTATACTTCTGTAGCACCCATCCTCTTCATTCTCTGACATGTATATCGATATTCAAAATATTCATTAAATGAATAAATAAATTGTTGACTCAGATGAGACTTCAAGTTTGATTATATATGAACAGGATGCTAAGCTTGAAGAATCCTAATGCTCTTTATTTAAAAAAAAAAAATGCTTTGGGTTTGGCATGGTGGTTCATGCCTGTAATCCCAGCATTTTTGGGAGGCCGAGGTGGGTGGATCACCTGAGGTCAGGAGTTCAAGACCAGCTTGGCCAACATGATGAAACTCCATCTCTACTAATACAAAAATTAGCTGGGTGTTGTGGCACACACCTGTCATCCCAGCTACTCAGGAGGCTGAGGCAGGAGA